GCTCGCTAAAGTCTGTTACACCGAGTGAAAATTAGTGCTATTTATCACATTTAACTAATCATCCATTAGCGACCTCTGCTAATCTTACACGAGCAATTTCACTGCAGGGGTGAAAAGGAAGGCTAGAATTATGTTTAATGAGCCTGCCAGTTCTCAGACTTCATTGCAGAATTAGACAATGAACATTGTGAAACATGGCAAACACAATAAATGATTTCTGGCCCCAGTCCAGGTAGAGTCGGTGCTAACTGGATGCTTTGCAGGCAAAACACCATCTTTTGGGATGTTGACAAAAATGATGATTTGCTTTCACCTTTTCAGACTTAAAGTTAAAAAAATAAAAGCATAATTTAGAAAAGCTCTTTTATATGAAAGGGAAGCCACACGAGTACCATGAATCAATGGCACAGAGAGCCACTCAGCAGTAAACACCCACTGTTCTGGGAGGTAATTAAGAATAATTAAAGGGCTAGCGGTTAACGAGTGTCCGTCCACCAGGGGGGCCGATGTTGATAGATTAGCTGCACTAACGCATTTACAGACTGCCAATCACTGCGGATGAAGCGGTTTTCCGGTGTAGGAGGGAAAAGTCCATTAGCACAGGCTCAAATCAGATCTTAGCACGGGTTATCAGCCCCATTTTCCTGATGCTCATTATCTGTCCCTTGATGCTTGTGCATTTGGCCTCAGCTGATTGGCGCCCCTGCTCTTTTTGGCTTTATTTTCTAATGAGTGTCACTGAGTTGGTGATATATGATATTGTTTGGGTAGTATTGTCAGTAATGTATCACTAATGCATCTGACTCTGTCTTCAGTGGGACCGCTGGGTGCTGTCATTCCTCATTGTTCGACTTCCAGATGCACTAATGCATCCGAAAGGAGAAAACAACAGTAAACCTCCAGGGTCAAGCTGCAAGTGTAATTTAAAAGTACATGAGGTGAAGGAGTTCTTTAAGAGCAAGGTGAGGTGAGTTCACGTTCTTTTGTCCTCTCATTGTATCCCTGCATTAAAAAGCAAGCCATACCCGCTGCACTTCACTTATACTATTTTAACACTTCTCACCAGTCGGCAGAGTGAGTGGCAGGTGACAGAGAGCTCCATTAGAAGCATGGTGGGTACATACTCGTATTTGTAGAAGGGGCATTTAGAAGAAATCAGTGCAGTGCGTTTTTCCCTTTCTCTAGCTGTCCACCCTGCCTGCACTAGAAAATGGCCCCAGTGTGCTCTCGCCCTAACCTCCATTAAGCCCGACGATTTGTATTGAGCCTGTGAGCTTTCAAGAGCTCCGTTTTATTTTGCAGGCACTTACACTCAATGTCCAATTGCACCATCCTCTCCCCTGGCCCAGCTTGGTTCTCGGCCTCGCAAGTCAGGTTGTGTAGGTTGTCCTTGGAGGAAACGTTGGTGAGGTAAAGGACCAGCTCCAGCGCAGAGTCTCCGCTCTCCTGCAGCTACCGCCGGCACACACAGACAAGGTGTTTAACTACAAATACATCGCTTGGAGGTGTACGTGTTACAACGATGAAATGAGACCCAATTTACTCTAGTACGGATCAATAGGTTAGAGAGCCGCATTTGAAGGTGATTTATGTCACTTTAGGCTCAATGTAGCTGATCTAAAGAGCTTTACAGCAGATCAGAAATGGCACCACAATGTAAAAACCCTGACTACAATGAT